TGTGTGTGTGTGTGTGTGTGTGTGTGTGTGTGTGTGTGTGTGTGTGTGTGTGTGTGTGTGTGTGTGTGTGAGTGTTTAGCGAACCGCGTGTGGGATATCCAGGGTGATCCGGTGTATGCGAACAGAGAGTTGTGTGGGCGCTATGTTGCCATAGCCAGTTGAAGTGAACTCGTGTCTGAGTTGCGTTCTTGGTTGTCATATCTCTGAGTTTTGAGTGAGCGCATGTCGCCAGTTTGCTGTGCTACTGTTTGCATGCATGTAAAGTGTGAATGAAAGCGAGTCTGATTGCATTTTCGTTTTTTTCCCCCGGGAAATTTGTCTAGTCACGATTTGATTCCGTTTGTAATCATTCGTTTGTTACAGTCACTGCACGCACCGCAAACGTCAGAAGACCAATTTTTTCTTTTCCTTCTTTTTTTTTCGTTTTTTCCGTGCGATATTTGTTCAGCCACCATCTGATTTTCTTACAGCACCGCAAAGTTCGGCCGCCTGGAACGCACGCCAGAGAAAACAACCCAAGCAACGAAAAAGCAGCTCCCTACGGGCGGGCCAGGGAAAGACCCAAATACATTTAACCCAACCAAGTTTATCTCCCGTCGGGACAACCAGACCGGAGACGACAGTTTCCGCGGCAGGCAGACGAGCCGCGGAAACTGCCGGGAATTGGACCCCAGGCAAAACAACCCAAGCAAGAAAAACGACAGCAACATGCCGGTGGGCGAGAAGAGCAGACACACCACAACCGAACAGCCCCGAATGTAACAGGCCCACACAGCGTCCAAATGCACGCACACTGGTAGGCAGAGAAGCGAGTCCCACAACGACCTCAACGCAAGACGGGCAGGATAAGAAGGGCCAATGCAAGCCCTTCCCAATATCAACATCATGACTCCGGCCTCAGAAAACACCGGACAACACAAAGCCTGACAGTGTGACAATTCAGCGGCAAAGAAGAAAACGGAGTAAAAAATGACTGCGTCACACCGCACTAAACAATCAAAGTGCACACCTTCGGCAGGAACACGAGCAGGTAAAGCATCCCGAGCACCCCTGCAAGCAATTTTTCCCCCAAGCTCCCGACGCCCAACCGGGAGCAGACAGCACACCAGGACGAAGAAAAAGTGGCCCACCAGAAAACACGTCAGATGCAACCACACCCAAAACCAGACTAAATCCAGCCAAAACGAAAGCAACGATCGGGCCGGATTATTTAACGTCCGGCCGGGCGTTTTTTTTTAAGGTCATCATCACATTTCTTACGCGACAGTCACCGCAGGCACCGGAAACTTCAATCATCCGGAATTCGATACGAGCCCAACCAACGAAGAGGACAGTAACCCGGCACCGGCACGGATGTCGACCATGGCAACGAAGACACACCTTCACCAGGAAAGCGACCAGTACTCCCAGATCAGAAACCCAGAGGCGGAAAAGGAGAAAAGAACAAGAAAAGGGCGACGGCTGTGACGTGGGCGGGTTCATCGTCATTGAAAAACTTTCACTGAGGTGAGGTAAGTATTACGCACTTACAAACACACGTGGAATCCTACATGCAAGTAGACAGAATGGTAGAAACGGCCTATAGTTGCACCGCTCGCCATCCGCCAGCATTGATCTAGTTGCACCGCTCTCCATCCGCCAGCATTTTGAATTGAACAGTACCCCAGATCAGAAACCCGAAAGGGAGCTGGGCACTGTCAACTACCTACTACCAACAACTGAGCAGCGCACATCGAATGTATATGAAAACAGCGCAGCCGCGTTCAGCAAGGACTCGCAAGTGAATATGCGCTGATGACTTCCAACAGCTGGACGTTTTTGTACTTGACGATTCGCCTTCCGACCTTTTCGAGCCAGTTATGGACCGGTACCCTGCTGATGTTTGTCACTTCCTGATTTTTGACGACTTCCTCGACACTTTGCCGCTGACTGGACCCCAACTGAAAAAGAAAAAAAAAAAAAAAGCGCCTAACGACTTCTGCAGACTTATCCTACCCCTACCAACCAGTACGTACTCCAAATCTTCCTACTCGCGACCTACTCAAACTTTTTTTTTCTTTTTGCGACCTACTCATACTAACCTACCTGGATTCTGGAAACTGACGATTTGCCTTCCGGACTTTTCAGACACTGTTTATGGAGCGGTTAAAAAAGAAAAAGTAAAAAAAAAGACTGTTTATGGGCCAGAAGGCCCAGAACCCTGCCAACGTTTCTCGCTTCCAGAAGTTTGTGGACTTTCCTGGCACGTCTCTGCGCTGACTGGACCCGACGGACAAAAGGGCCTCACGACTCCTACAGACTTTTGCTACCCCTACAAATACCTACTGAAATCTTCCTACCCGCGGCCAGCCTATATTGAAACTAACTTAGCTGGGACTGGGACTGGGACCAAGGGCCGGGGGGAAACCCCCTATGCTACACACAACTAGGACTGATGCTGAGACTGGGAACTGGGAATGGGACTTGAACTTGGATCGGGACCAAGGCTGCCGCGGTGGAGTCCTTTCCTATGCCTTCAAACTGACAAACCACCAGTCCATCCAAAGCTAAATTGACGAACCACCAACGGTCCGCGGTCCGCGTATTTTGAAACTAACTTAACTGGGACTGGGACCAAGGGCCGGGGGGAACCCCCTTATGCTATACACAACTAGGACTGATGCTGAGACTGGGAACTGGGAATGGGACTTGAACTTGGATCAGGACCAAGGCCGCCAAGAGGAATCCTTTCCTATGCCTTCAAACTGACAAACCACCAGTCCATCCAAAGCTAAATTGACGAACCACCAATGGGCCGCTCAGTTGATACGCCCATGAACTGTTGAAATACAGACCTGTGTTCGAATCCAGATGCAATCAAAATAAATTGGCAAACCAAAATGTCTCGGAGCCTGAACGTGACCAGTACCGGCAAAAATCAACACGGTAGAGGTACTGGCCTTTGTATTATCGAAAGTTTGGGCCTGCCACAGACATTACTGCTCATCTGTTGCTCAGCCGGCCCTGGGCCGCTAAGCTCCCAGGGGCGGTACTCGTAAATGAAAACGGATGAACAGTAGCTTGAGATGAACTGGTGATTTTAGGAAAACAAAAGAGACAGAATAAAAGTAGGCTCATGCTGTACGCACCTGCATTGGAATGTGTACAGGTTGTACTTGTCTGTGTGTCTGGATTGCCGAGGAGTTTCCTCGGCGTCTGCACGGATAGTCCAGAACTGTTGGTCTGAGGAATGGCAGTAGGATCGGGACTCGGATTCCTTCTCCGCATTCGCCTTCCAGCAACTATGGCGGCAGCAACTATAATCAGTGCAACCACTGCACCGGCACACACCATACCGATCATCATCCCAGTCTTGTTTGATGATGATCCTTTCTTGATATGCACTGGAGGTCCCACCGATGAAATCGGGGGCAAATCAAACACCGGAGCATGTTCTTCGCAAATCTGTGGAGCCTCACATAGCAGGGAATTCCCGGAATAGCTGACATCAACAAAGACCAAAATGGGCAGAGTGCATGATCCCACAATCAGTCTCAAACAACAACAACAACAACAACAACAACAACAACAACAACAACAACAACAACAACAACAACAACAACCACAACCACCACAACCACAACCGCAACCACAACAAACCCAACAACCCCAACAACAACAACCCCAACCCCAACCCCAACCCCCACAACCCCCACAACCCCCACAACCACCACCACAACCACCACCAC